TTTCCCGGAGATCTTGCGATGTACAGAAGATTGCGAGCCAGCCAAACTCTGCTCTGTGCTCAAAGTTGGACCTCTTTTGGAACCACAATGTATGCCTCAGATGGTTGTCGGAAGGAGGATCAGAGTCCAGAGTGTCCCTTTCCAGCAGGATCAGATGTGATCCTTTCTCGCTGGCATCGACGGCCCCCCCGAAGAAGCCTCCTCCTTCCTGGCCAGGCCACAGGTCCACAAAGGGCCGCACTTTTTACGCTTTGTGGTGGTGGCTGTCCGTGTCTCAGCCAAAGAAGGGAATTTGAAGTCCCTTTTTATCTCCTGCTTTCGAACTGGAGATGCTTGGGACGAAATCTGGATGTTCTGCATGCAAGAACATGGGATCTGATGTCATGCTTGTCCTAGGCAGGGGATTAGCATGCAAAAGATTCGCCAGACAGGTGGAAGGACACGGAGGCCTCTGGTGGCAGCCACGGTCCCGGCATTTCCCGTCAGGGAGGATGAGTGAAAGGTCCTCCCCATGAACGCAGGTGCTCCTCGCTTAAGTCTGCTGCCTACGTACCAAAGTGTCCCCAATTAACGAAGCCCCGTCGAGATGCACGGCTCCGCGCTCCTTAATTCAGAAAGGCATCTTGTGTCCCTGGGAGCCTATTAAGCAGATCGTAATCAAATACGATAATTAAGGTTTGCAGTCACTGTGTTTTTGTCCTCACCTTCCCACATGGCTTCAAGAACGTGGTCACCTCCAGGGGCTGGCTTTTTATTCGTGTCCCCGAGGCCACAAATAAAGGGCTTGCTTTCCTGTCCCTTGGAAATGCCCCCCTTGCCGTAAAGTTCTCAAAGTTTGCATTGATGTCACGATGGGGCAAATGTTGCCCCCCCCCAGTTGATGCTGGATTTGAACTCCCATCCTCCCTAGCCAGGAGAGCCCAAGGCGGAAAAGGCTGGAAGTGGGCCAAGGGAAGGGAATCTTTGGCCTCTCGGCCTCATCCTGCCCCAGGGGAGATCCAGGGATGTCCACGCAGGATTTGAGGAGATATCCCAGCTACTACTACTCCCCTTTCCCTTTGTTAAGGGCAGCCCTGCCAGAAATGACTGGAAATAACAGCAGGATCCCCGTCTCTGCCTGCCTGCCTCCCCAACAGAGAACTTTAGCCGGGGAGGGGCAGATTCTGCTATGACCCCCTTTATTTGGGTCAGTGGAAGTGAGAGGCATCCCTGGGGAGTCACAAACACACACCAACCCTTTCCTTGCTTGCTGTTTCCCTTTTTCTCTGCCTCTCTCTGCAAAGATTTGTTTCTTTATTTGAAATATTTTTACCCCGGCGTTCGCCTTCAAAAGGTCCCAAGATGCTGTCAAAAGGGCCAGATGGGGGAGAGGCATGGGGGGTGTCAGAGGAGAGGCGCAAGGGCAGCCCCCACCCAGGGACCTGGGTCGGTCCCGTGTTGCAGTAGGACCACCTTAGTGCCCCATCCATCCGTGGCATAAAGGGGCAAACGCTTGTGACCCCGGTTGTAAGGCATCCTGCTTCAGCTGCGGAGCGAGCCCCTGTCCCCGAGGCCCTCGAATGTTGGTCACGGTTTTTACACCTGGCTGGCAGGCCGTCTCTGGAGCAGCCTGAGATGTCTGGAAGGAGGCCCTAGAAAAGCTCTGGGGAGCGTCGTTCCCTGCCCACCCTCCCGGGGTGAAACCCCCTCCTTCAGGCATGGTTGCGGTCGAGCTTGGAGGCCTCCTCGGTGAGTGTGCGTGCCGGGAGACGTCCCAGAAGCTGGAGTTCACCAAGCTCGGTCATGTTTCCAAATGCTGGCTCCAAGTCTGGACTTTATTCTGAAGGCTTTATCGAGTGTTAAGTCTCACTGCCTGCTTTGGGGGGGGGGAGGCTTGGAAATGAGATAGGATGCCTTCTTAATTAATAACCGGGCAGCAAAGTAAACACGGCGCTTCAGGGAGCCGCGGCCCAACCCACCCCGAGGAAACAGACTCCCCGCCCGTCTTTCCGGTGGGCGACGGCCGCTTTTGAAACCGGGACCTCTCAGACGGAAGGGGCGCAGGAGCACGCTTACACGACAGGCTCTCCAGAGATGGTTCGGCCGTCGTCCATGGAGCCAGAACTCCTTCCAGCATCCTTTCTGGTGCTTTGTCCAGCTGTTCGAGGGGCTTTTGTGAAACTCAGGCTTGGACAATCCAGGCGGAACGTGTGTCTCCTAGGGAAGCCTGGGTATGGTTGAAGCTGCTCCCAAGAGTCAGCCTTGGACAACCCAGGCAGAACGTTTTTTTGGTGGGGTTTTTGTTTTTTTGTTTGTTTGTTTGTTTTGTGTTTTGTGTTTTTTTTGACGAGTCAAAGGAGAAAATGTTCTAGGTGTGTCTCCTAGGGAAGCCTGGGTATGGTGTATTTTTTATTATTATTATTAATTTTTTTTGGTGCTCAGAGAGGGGAAGGCAGTCTTGTCTCTGAGCAAGGCGTAGCCCTCTTTGCTTTGGAAAGAGTCGGAGTCTTTGGGCTTCTGTGACGACACAGATTCCTTCCCCCCCTTTTGCAAAACATCTGGAGTCCTTTTGGGAGCACAGAAACAAGAACGCTGTGTTCACACTGGATGGTGCGTGGGATTGGCCCAAAACATCTCCTCCATGTGTCTGGTGTAACCAACTTGAGTGACGGAAGTGGCGGGCTAGGGGCTCGGCCCCCGTGGCCGTCCACCCCTTGTATCTGTGCCAGAATGTTAGGATTGCAACAGAAAGCTTTTGCCTGCGTGGACAGGAAGGATAGGTTCTGGCTGAAGTGTGTGCGTGTGGGGAGGGGGTGTAGGGCGGAAATGGGGCAGAGAAGATCAGAGAAAGAGAGAACATGACCAGAGAGGACGGCTCTTCAGCCACTCCCCAAAGAGAATATGGGTGGCCAATTTTGTGGACGTATCTCCCACCTGCCTTTGAGGTGGGCTGGCCCCAAGGAGCATGTTTTGTGTGTTGGGGGTGAGGGTTGGGCTGCCTTTTCTCTGCCTTTTTTGATGCAGGAGCAGGGAAAAGCCCTTGGCAGCCTTTCCTGCTTGTAAGATCTGCATGTGTTAAGGCAAGCGCCCAGTTCTTCCTTGGACAATGTGATCCCTCTAGGCACGCCAGTATTCCAGTGCTATACACCGGAGCCACCAGGCATGCTAGTTCTCTCCCAGACTTGACCAGTCACAAAATAAAAAAACAGACTGGTTTGACAAATGGGAGTTGAGGCAAGTTTGCGTTGGAATAAACGGTCTTCTCTTCCAAAAGAGGCCCTAAGGATGGGACCAGCATCTCGTCTACTGAGGCCCTTGGGGGTCAGGAATACAAGACTGTTCCACGGACTCTGGGGCTTCCAGGGTGACCCCAAGAGGCCCTTGGGGGTCAGGAATACAGGACCGTTCCACGGACTCTGGGGCTTCCAGGGTGAGAAACAGGAAGAGCCACACCGGAGCGGCCGAGCACCGGCGCCCTGTTGAGAAGGTCTTGGGTTCGTGCTGAAAGTCTGCCTGTTAAAGCAGAATAAATAGATGGACGAAACAGACTAGCTTGGGCATTGCTCGGTGGTGGATGGGCGGGTGTGGGTGTCCCAGCTTGAAGTGTCTGGCATTCCTCCTAAATCCCTCCATCTCCAGTTGAAATGTGTCTCGTCATCCCCCTTCTCCGTTATCATACATATTTCAGTGCTTTCTTCCTTGGCCGCGGGTGACTCATTTTCCTTCAAGACAAGCCCGACAAACCTGGCAGGAAAAGAGAGAGAACCGTGTGAGGGGGTCAAATGCCTTTTGGAAAAAGCTGAAGGCCCCTCGGAGGTCACTTGCCACTTGGTATCATCTTGAGGTTTTGTGGCTTGTGAGGACGGAGGTGCAGGGCATGGGTGGATGCCTCCGATGGTTGTCCCTTGATGGAGAGAGAACACACACACACACACACCACACACACACACACCCCTCTCTATAGGAGGGAGGATCCCTCCAGTGTTCAGATCTGTTGTTTGTACCACGGATGTTCTGCTACCCAAAGAATGGGAGGCAGAGGGGCTCTGTCAGGCGTAGAAGCCCCCCACCTGTATTTTATGGTCTAGTTGCGGAGGGAGGATCCCTCCTGTGTTCAGGTCTGTTGTTTGTACGACCCAAAGAATGGGAGGCAGAGGGGCTCCGTCAGGCGTAGAAGCCCCCCCACCTGTATTTTATGGTCTAGTTGCTAGTGAAACCGAGCGGTTCAAGCAGGCCTTGGAAGTCTTGGGCAAGGCAGTTCAAATTCCCCCCCACACCTATAACAAAGGGATAATAATAAAACCGTGTTATTCTTAGAACTGCGTAGATACTTTCTGTACAAGGCTCTGAAATTCATAAAGCAGAACTCGACCAAGCCTTCCTCCAGGTGCCGTTGGACTGCAAGGCCCAGCATCCCCAGTTTGGGTCAGCAAGGGATGACGGGAGTTGAAGTCCAGCAGTGTGTGTGTGTGTGGGGGGGGATAAGGTTACTATGTGCCTCCTGGCGTTCTTGGCAACCAAGGGCTTCCTGCATCCAGTGGTTCCCTGGTGGGCAAAGACGGGTGCCGAGAGGCTGCGGATTGGAAAGAGGGACGAGGATAAATCGATTAAGGATTGATAGTCAGTGTGGTTTGGTGGAACCTCCATGTCTAATAGCAGTCCATCTGAATACTAGTTCCTGGGCAGAGTCAGTACCATGGGGGGCAGGTGTCCCCTTCCTCCGCTGCTTATGGGTTTGCTAGGGGGATCTGAGCCACTGTGTTGTGAAAATGGGACACGGGGAGAAGTTGGACCCTGTGATCTGGCCTCCGGGACCTCCTCCCTTCCCTGCAGATGGAAAGCTTGCTCTTCGTTGCCGTCGCTCTTTCACAGGCCTTGTTTTCACCCCGATTCCTTGGGGCGGCTTCGCCCGACAGAGCTGGAAACGCAACAGTTTGTGCTAATTTCAGTGTTGTTTTTTTCTCTCTCTCTCTTTTCTTGTCTTCTGTTTTTCTCCCCACACTCCTTCCCACTTTCCTCAGCTCACCTTGCAGAGCACCAAATCCCGTGTGGCCTTCTTTGAAGAGCTCTAGTGAGTGAGCCCAGCCCCGTCGTTCCTGAGCCAGCTCCCGCCCGTGGAACCCCTTTTTGAAGACTCAGCCATAACTGGTCACGGATCTCTTCTTGCCGGCTGCCGCCTTGCACCTTGGCCCTCGGTGTTGCGCATATGAGCGGCGAAACCTGAGCATTGGCTGCCGGAAGAGGTTTTGTGTGATCCCCTCTTGCTTCTTACTCTGTATATTTAACACCCTTTGTATAACACTCGGCTGTGGCCAGCTATTTAGCTTTTATTTCCTTTTTTAAAAACAAAGTGTTTGTATTGATTGTGACTTGTATTATGCTCCTGCAACAGGAGACATCAATGTTATTATTTTCTGACCGTCCCCTCCCGAGGGGGGCCCTGTGAATGACGCTTCCTTCTGCAGGCAAAAATCAGAGGAAGCTCCCATGTGGATTTTGACCTCCGCGTCGCTCTTTCTGATAGTGTGTTGTCAGTTGCCGTGAAATCTCTGCCAGGTTCTCCACTGACCCTTGCTAGCCTATTCAGCGTCGCTTGCACCCTCGCCCTCCTCCTGAGCCAGTCTCCGGAGAATGGCTTGGATAGCAATGGAAACCAGCTCCCACCTTGTCCTGCCTTATATAGAGAGAAGCTCAGACTCTGCTCCAGGTTGGTGCTGAGGATATAAAGAAGAACCCTTTTTAAAAAATGTAATCGTTTTTTTAAAAAACTGCTCCACTGAAGACACAATCCGTTCTGATTTCAAGACTGGGATTGTTGCAAAATTTACTTTAAAAGCAAACAAACATGGAGCAGAGCTCTGTGACAGCGTGCAAAAGGAGGAGAGACAAGTATAGGAAAATTCAGGGCATAGAAGCTGCAACCAAAGTTTATAGAAGATTCTTTATATGCACACAGGAGGAAACCTCGCCCAGCGCCAGGCGTGGGAAAAGCGTGGCCCTACAGTTGTTGAAATCATTGATCCGGGCATTCTTCACAATTAGCTCTGCGATCTAGGTTTGATGGAACTCCGTTCTGCCCACCCCTGACGCCAACATCCAGCTGACCTATCCTTAATACATTTTTTTCCATGCATTCATGAGGGCGAGAAACTTGTCTTTAAAAACTAAGGTGGAGCTGAGATGCTTTGCAGGCTTGTGCTGCATTGAAAAATGCAGAGTTTTACCAGCCACCCCCTCTTAATGACTACAGAACAATGCCTGTATTTAAAGTAAATGCATTTCTCCCCCACCTTCCTTCCTTCCTTCCTTCTCAACCTCTAATATCTTGATTGTTTTAAATATATATTTATCCATTATAATAGATGGATGAGAAATACCTCTCTTAAAAAAAAATGAAATTATTTCCATACTATCTGGGGGGCCCTTTTCAGAGTCTCTGGGCAAATAAGCAGAATTTAGTAACTTTAGCAGCCGGCCCTTTCCAGCTGCATTTTACTAGCCCTGGGTAAGTGATCTGTCCCTTTCCAAAGTGGCAGGGTGCCCAGAAATCTCAGCCGCGGTGGTTCTCTGGCCTCGTCAGTGCTTGTTACTGTCTTTCTTTGCCTGCTCCCATCTTATCGAATGTCTCCATTGAAGAAGCACATCAAGAAGACAGAACAAACCAGGTAGAGGGGCCAGAGGGAAGCGGGAAGTGTGCAGCGACGAAAGCCAATCCGGCTGAATCTAGTAACCCTATTTAAGACATCTTTGATGGAAGTTGCACCAGCGAGCGGCTTAACAAAGGCTTTTCATCAGACGCCCACCAGGTTCACACCCTACCTTGGCTTCTCCCTTCTACCACCTGCAATTTAAAAAATCCACACATTTCAATATAAAAAGCTTTAAATCTTTTGGGCAGCTTAAAAGAGAGGCCTTGTTCTTTCGGGAGTTTTCAGGGCATAAAAATTCCCAGAAACTTTCCTTTTTTTGTTTCTTGAGCACAGGCTTCCCTCACTGGGTACCCTCTGGATGCATTGGCCCGCTCCCATCCTTCCCCACCCCTGCGTGGGCATCCGCATTTCAGTCCAGCCCATCTGGGCATCAGCCGGCAGCTGAGGACGACGGGATTCGATGGCCAGAGCGTTTTCAGGGAACCCACAGGCGCTGAAATGCTGCACCCGTCTGGATTTGTTTGGGAATTTTGTTGCCCGAAGCCGTTGTCTTGGAGGTTTACGACAGTGGGAACCTGCAGGGACGAGGGACTGGGGCCGACCTCTCCTCCAAGTCTGCTTCCCAACACCTTCCGCTTTCTCTCTCTCTCTGTCTCTCTCTTTCTGCTCTCCTCCAAGTCTGCTTCCCACTGCCGTCCCCTTTCTCTCTCTCTCTCTCTTTCTCTCCCCAGCTGTCCTGGCTTCAGCCACCAAAACGGACTCCTGGCTTTTTAGACTTTTGGATTTCTTACCCAGAATATTTTAACGTGATGCTTTTAGGATTTCTTGACACTACAATTTAATTGGGGCCAAGGGATTTCAGGGACAATCTTTCTGGTAAGGGAGTATTTCATTTTAAGAGAAGCTTCCTCAGCCTCATTCCCTGGGAAATATATATTGGGCTTGTATTTCTCTGCAGGCTGGTTGCAGGATTGTGCTTCTGAGCACACCCAGAAAGCTTTTTCCTTCCCATTGAGGCAAAGCCTCACATTTCACGGCCAGGTCTTTGAAGGGGTGCTGATGTCAGTCCACGTAGACCTGGATCTTTGGAAATCTGTGCTTGCTGGCGCTTTGCACTTCTGCTGACACTTCGGCTTCCTTGTGAAGACGGCGGTGCTCAGAGGCGCTCCTCCAGTCGGGCAGAGTGAAGTGGCGGCCTCCGATGCCATGTTGCTGGGCGTTGAAATTTTGCCACCCCCTCCTGCCCCTTTGGCACGAAATAGCCAAGGCACGGGGATGCCTATCCGGGAGCAGATTCTGGAGCTAGTGTTTGGAAAACCCTGGACCCCGCAGAGAACAGTCGGTTCCGCTCTGCTCCCCGCAGAGCCCTGCTTGCCTGTCCGGAAAGCAAAGCGAGGCGAGATCACTCAACAGCGATGCGGGAGTGAAGGCAAGGAGGAAGCACATGGGGGGGGCAGTGCTTCCCTTTCAGCCTCAGGTAGCAGGAGAGCCTGGGCTGCCCCACGAGGGCTGATAGGCCAAACAGCTGATAGGCCAAAAACGAGGGCTGGCCATTTTTGTCCACCCTACGAGACAAGCACAACACACACAACTTAGGAAGCCACCTCCTGGCGAGTCCTGTCCTTGGTCCCTCCAGCCCCTAGTATTGGTAGCCCTGGCGAGCAGCCACCAGCCAGGGGTTTGAAGGGGGAGCTTTTCCTCATCCCGCCTGGAATGGCTGAGAAAGGAGACCTTGGACGTGAAAAACAACAGAGTCGGCCCCTGACCCAGAAGCCCTGCTTTGGCTTTTCCCCTCTAAGTGATCGGAGCCATGGCGTTGGCTGCGGGGAGGCCCGTGGGGTGGCCCCCGAGCCCAGCCAGGATGGCCAGGCTCCCTGCCTGCAGTCAGAAGTGGCCGTGGCCCTTGTGGAGGGATCCACGGAGCTTCCGGTCTGGGTTGGGGGGGCCGGGTCTTTCCTCCAGGCCCCTCTGAGCCCCGGGCCCTGAGCGCAGAGGTTCAAAGGCAGAATGCAGTGCACTGAATCTCTCCTAATTGTTTTTAGCAGATGCCGTTTTCCTACTTTTTAAAAAAGGAAAAGAAACAAACTTGTCTATACGGATCGTTTTTAAAAAGTATGTCTGAAATTCAGATGTCTAAATTTTTCTCTTCCCTCTTTTGTGGCTTCCTTTTGCAGGGTCTTGGTCGGAGCAGGACCCCCCCCCCTTTTCTACTTCTGTAGATTGTTATATGCTCTGCACAATGGGCTGTTTCTCATTCTAGTTTTAATAAAAAAAACAAAACCTGAAGGTACTTCAAGGCAGGCGTGCCGGGCGGTTGCTTTTGTTGTCTTGCTTATTCTTCCAAAGGAAGACCCGGGTACTTTTTTATTCGCTTGCTCTTTACACAATAGCCTCTCAAGATGATCCTGACTGCGAAGCTGAGCCCTCCTCGGCCCTTGAACCTGGAACTGTGCTCGTGAGCTGTACTGGCCTGATGTCTTGCCGATTCCACTGTCCTTGGGCATCTAATGCCGTGTCCTTTTCGTCTCTGGGTTTCCTTCCTTGCCTCTCCCATGTGTGTGTGTCTGTGTGAGAGTGTGTGTGTGTTCAGCCGACTGGGTCCCATTTAGTATTTATTACTAGTTTATTATGTACATCCATACCTTTCTGTCCCACCTGGCTTTCCCTCTTCCAAAGCCCCGCGAGGTAGGACAGACTGGGAGACAGCGGCCAACAGGATCTCTCCCAGTAAGCTTAGCGGGGATCAACAACGGAACATCCCAAATCCCAGTCCATCCCTAACCATGATTAGCACACCATGTTTCTGTCCGGGCTGTCCCGTTGCCTCCAACGTAGGCTGACCCAGATGGGACCTTTGAGTTGGGGGAGAGATTTTAGGAGTGGTTTTAACTTGTGCTGCTGCCCAGAGAGTTTCCAAGATTCTGCGGGCCTTTGAACCCAGGTCTCCTGAGTTCCAGTCCATCACTCTGTCTGCATTGGGCTCTGACATATTATTGTTTCTTTTCTTTAGTTGCTTTACTGCCCTTCCCCCAAAAATTTTAGCTCAGGGTTGGTGCAACAAGAAGGTGCAAGAGTCACGGTGCTGGTGTTCCACTCCCCCCACGATGTTCCAGAAAGCCCAATGGGCCGGTGTCTGTGTGTCAAACACCCAGGCGCGAGGAGAAGAGACTGAGCTGGTGGGTGCACATGATGGGAACCATCTGGAAGCAGACTACAGCACTTCCGTGTTAAGCCGCAGAGTCCTGGCACCAACTGGGAAGAGGAAAGGAAAGCCACACAAGCTTTAAGGCCACCTCTTGCTCACAAATCAGAGTACCAGAGCCGGAGATGTTTCTCTGTTTCTGGAGACCTGCAGCTGCCTGAGACGTCAGCCAGAGACCCCCAACATCTGTCCATCCGTCTTGCTTCCCTTCGAAGTCTAGGGCCCACCGTCTTCTGCATTTTTTACGGTGCCAGGAAATTGGAACGCGTCTCCCTGTTTCTGTGTCCCCATCGTCCGGCAGTCTCTCCTCTGGCATCAAACTGTGCTCTTGGTTCATTATCTCTCTTGTCTCTAAACCCTGGCTTGCCTGCCGGTGCGGTGCATTCCTTGCCCCCGAATGCTTACATAATCTTGTTTTTCTTGTCAGTCGCCTGCCCCCTTTGTACGGGGAAGGCAGCTGTGGCTCTCTGGCAGATAATATGATCCCAGGATATTCCTTGTCTAGCTCTACGAAGTGTCTCGGGCTCCTAAGGGATGCCAACACGGTGTCAGTCAAAAGCTCTGCTGTGTGTTAGGAGAAAAAGAGGACTGAGCCGGCTTATTGAGTGTGTGGGTGGATGAGACACCCAGAGCACAGATCCTGTATGTCTCAGAGGGTTGACTCTTCCTCTTTGGTCTGTTCGCCAGGAAGAAGCTGTATTTCCCCAACAGAGCATACTTTCTGGCAAAATTGTTAACAATAGAACCTCATTAGAAGCTGGAATCTGTTCATGTGCTGGAGATTTGATTCTGACACACGGCATGCTTGATGAAGCCTGTGTTTTCTTCCCAATGGAAAGTGGGGAAAAAAATCTCCTGTTTTGTCCAACAGGTGTGCTCAGCACTTAAAGGTATTCTCTGTCCTAA